GGGTCTGAGACTGAGCAAGAGGCCACCACTGGCAGCCAGATGCAGGGCACATCGTTGCCTACGTAGAGATGCTGGAGGAGTTTGTGTCCCAGGTGCCCAAGGAATGCAAGGAGCAACCAGTGGGCAGGAAGTTGTGAATGAGTGCGTGTGTGTGGTGGGGGTTCTGTGCAGGCAGCTCAGAAACTCCATCTTCACAAACTTTGATGTTGGATAATTTTGTCTGTTTGTGGCAGATGTGCCACAAAGATGTCTAAACTGTGAACTGACTATTCTAATAGTGTCTGTGTTCTGTAAACTAGGGCTTCAATCATTGTTTTGAAATACTAGCTATGATCAAGTCTGATTGGATCAAAAATCCACAAGAAATTTTATAAGCACATTTGTCAATGAAAGAAGAGGAAGAGCCTTAAATATAATTTCTACTGTTGTAAATGTTTGAACGGTTATCAAAGATGGTTTAAATTTCTTTGGGTCACCTACTGCTGTACAGTTTCTTGTCATTAAAGAGATCACTGTTCAAGAGTCTCAGTCAGGAACGAGCTCTTTAAAACACAAAGCTGAGAATATAAAATTAGGTACTAGGATTCAAGTTCAAGTTTCTCATTTAATAAAAATGACTTTTTGAAAAGTGTTAACAAATTCACAATTTAATATCTTCTGTAATGCTATATATTTAATTTTTACTATAATCATATTCTATAAAGAAAACATTTTATCACATTCAATAAGCTCCTCTAGTTTTCATTGGGTGCTATAATGTGAAAGGGTTGGAAAGTACAGCTCTAACCCAGCACCTTAACTTATTTATGAGGAAACTGGGGCCCAATCAGGGTGACTCATCTAAGGTCACAGAGCTAATCACTTCCTTCCTAAACCAGCTCCTGTGCTGACTTTCTGAGTCTTACCTGTAGGTCTGTGATACATCATTCTCCAAGTTACCCACATCCAAGCCAACTCATGTTCACTTCCCTCTCTGTCGTATCTCACCCAACCTACATTCCCTCTCACATTGAAGGAACACTCCACTTTATGGGAGCTGACACGCCAGCTGCTTGCCACGTTGGCCTCCAATTTGTAAAAAAACACAGTATCTGCAAAGCGCAGTAAAGTGAAGCATGATAAAATGAGGTATGCCTGTATGTTTATTCCCATTTTACTGCCACTCCTCCCTCAATTCACACCTTGGTCTCATGGAAAACTCCTGTGACTAAGTGACTAAGGAAGACATTTGAGCTTGGTTTAACAGATGGTATCAGCTGGCCGTGGACTGCTAAGGTGTTCTAGCTACACTTGGAGATGGTCTTGAAAATGGTCTTGGAAGTGGCAAAAGGAAGTCTTCCCAGTGGGCAGAGCTTTGAGTTGTACTTTTGTGGTTCTCTCTCCTTGAGAAAGACTCTACACCAATTCATGGGCCAGCTGGGTAAGGACTTAGGCTGGTGACAAGGAGGTTTGGGAGAGAGGATATAGCTGTAGATGAACCTCAGAATAGACCTAGAAAGTGAGAGTACTTGTATCCTGTATGAATATTTATCAAAATGTCAAAATATCAAAATGCTGGGACTTCCCTGGTAGCCCAGTGGTTAAGAATCTGCTTTCCAATGCAGGGGACGCAGATTCAATCCCTGGTCGGGGAATTAAGATCCCACATGCCGCGGGGCAACTGAGCCCGTGCACCACGACTACTGAGCACACAGACCACAACTAGAGGGAAGCCTGCACACTGCAACGAAGACCCTGCATGCCACAATGAAGACCTGACGCAGGCAAACATAAAAAAAAAAAAAAAAAATGTCCCCACTGCTAAAGAAGCTTTAATAAATTAGTGAACAAGGGCTTCCCTGGTGGCGCAGAGAGTCCGCCTGCCGATGCAGGGGACGTGGGTTCGTGACCCGGTCTGGGAAGATCCCACATGCTGCGGAGTGGCTGGGCCCGTGAGCCATGGCCACTGAGCCTGCACTTCTGGAGCCTATGCTCCGCAACGGGAGAGGCCACAACAGTGAGAGGCCCGTGTACCGCAAAAAAAAAAAAAATTAGTGAACAAGATGACTGGACAGGTGGGTGAAGACCTTTTCCTAGTCAACCCAGTGCCTGCTCATTGGGGTCATGAGCTCATCACAGGATTCTCCTCAGCAAGGCTAATCTGTTGCCACTGCAGAATGCCCGTTTTAGAAGGAATCATTATCATGTATTATTTCTGTCAAGGAGGTTAAGTGAGTCAACCTCATTGGGATGAGGTTTATACTGAATTTGGATTTCCTTTCCTACCAGCCATGCCTTTACCATCCTTATCCTAAGTGGGTTTACCAAATACCTTATTCACCATCATGGCATCTTATACATCATGGTATATGTCTTAGTTCAGGCTGTTATCACAAATTACCATAGCCTGTGGGGCTTATAAACAACAGAAATTTATTTCTCACAAGCTGGAAGTCTGAGATCAGGATGCCAGTGTGGTTGGGTTCTAGTGAGAGCCCTCTTCCGGGTTGCAGACTGCCGACTTATTATATCCTCACCCAGAGAGCAGAGATGGGAAGCAGGCTCTCTCATAATCTTATAAAGGCACGAATCTCATTCATGCGGGCTCTACCCTCATGATCTCACCTAATCCTAATTAACTCTCAAAGGCCCCATCTCCTAATACATCACATTGGGGGGAGGATTTCATCTTACGAATTTTGTAGCAACAGAAACATTTAGTCCATAACAGGATCTGACCAAGGAACTAACTTTACAGTGAAATAAGTAAAGAAACTGGCTGTCCTATCAGATTCACTCGCCCTGTATTGTGGACCCCGACAACCAGAAGCAGCTGGCTTTAAGGAATAGTGGAATGACCCAGGGAATTCTCGCCTACTGAGCCAGCTGGAAGACAAGAGCTTGAGAGCTTGGATTCTATTTACAATGGCCCCTGGGTATCCTCGGGGAATTGGTCCAGGACAGCTCTTCCCATACCCTCCCACCCCCAGATACCAAAATCCAAGCTTGCTCAAGTCCCTTATATAAAATGGCATAGTATTTGCACATAACCCACACACATTCTCCCATATACTTTAAATCATCTCTAGATCACTTATAATACCTAATGAGAACCTATTTGTTTATTTTTAATTTATTTTATATTTTTTGGCTGCACTGGGTCTTCGTTGCTGCGTGTGGGCTTTCTCTAGTTGCTGCGAGCGGGGTCTACTCTTCGTTGCGGTGCGCGGGCTTCTCATTACGGTGGCTTCTCTTGTTGTAGAGCACGGGCTCTAGGCGCGTGGGCTCAGGATTTGTGACTCGCGGACCCTAGAGGGCAGGCTCAGTAGTTGTGGCGCACGGGCTTAGTTGCTCCGTGGCATGTGGGATCTTCCCGGACCAGGGATCAAACCGGTGTCCCCTGCATTGGTAGGCAGATTCTTAACCACTGCACCACCAGGGAAGTCCCGAGAACCTATTTTAAAGTAGGTTTCTTCCGTTATGAGATTGTAAACTCTGAAGGCTGTCACCATTTTTAATATCTTTCTATTTAAGTACATAGGGTTGTACTTTATATAGTGCAGGATACAGGTTGCAAACTTGTAGATTCTCAGCTATATCTGAACTGCATTCATTTTGATCAATCTGAAGTGTTGTTTTTTTTTTTAAACTGACAGTTGCCAACATTTAAAAATCAAGAGATTTCATGTGAAATGCACATTTCCACCTTCTCTTGAAAAATTCGAAGGTCTGGCCATTTTAGGCCCACGTTCCCAAAGTTGCGCTCTTTAAACAAAACAGGCATTTCCATCCGCCAAAGTCCTCACCTTGCTCACTTGATTTACTTTCACTAGTCACCTGGTCCCTGAAGGCATATAAGTTTGCCACCCTTGCTGCTCAATGGAACTATATTGAATAAATGAACTTGGCAGTTAATGCTTGTACGTTCATTTTCATTACACATACGCGTTCTATCCTTCTAACTCCATTATAATAAGCCACTTGGTGGACAGAATCCTGTTAACTATTTTTCCTTAAATAACTTTTTGGTGGTCACGTGCTTCAATAAATATTAATGTTTATAAAACCTTGCTCTTAGCCCCAGACCACTGCGAGTTGAGTCTCCCTGCGTTGGTCTGGGGATGCCTAAAATTTCATCATTATGATTCGTTCCCTGGGTTTAAGCCGAGACTTGGTTACTTGTCAGGTAAAGAGATTAAAATTATTTCCCGATAACACAAACATACAACATTTTAAAGTAGGTATGAGGTGGGAAGTTACCCTTTCCACAGCAAATAAAAAAGTTCTTTCAGAGGTGGTCAAGTTTCTAGCTGCGACCCTGGGAAAGGTGGAGGAGACTGGAATGCAGTTGCATTCTGAAGTTTATCGAAGGCTTTTTGGGTGGGAATTTTATCCGAAGAGTCTCAGAGCGACCCTCGCTCGGGTTCTGGCAGCTTTGGGCGTGGCTTCTGGCACAGCCCCCGAGTAGTTGTCACTGGGATCAATTTCAGGACTCTCTAGAGCCCAGCCTTCGGAGTTTCACATTTCTGGGGGCTCGTCTCCCCGCCCTCAGGTAATTTCCCTCCGTTGCTGGCGCTGCCCTGCCCCCTCGGTCGCTGGAGTCTCCCCCCCTGCCCGACACCCTCTCTGGCTCTTTCAGCATCAGTTTCCCCAAGGAGGCAGGAGGGAGACGAATTTGGGGGCTTCCCTGCCCTCGTCTTGGAGCCGGGGAAGGGGAGATGCGGGCAGGAGGCTCACTCTGTGAGTTCAGGCTCGGCAGCCGGCTCCCGAGGCCTTCGGCCCGGGGCACTTCGCGAGGGAGCGACCCTCTCCTCAGAGCCGCCAGCGGGTGCAGTCCAGCCACGCCGAGCGGAGGGGGCTCGGGGCTCCCCGCCCCCGACCCGGCGTTGCCGCGCTCCCCCTAGCGGCCGCCGTGCGGCCTCGCTCCGTCCCAGGCTCGTCGGCGGCGCAGCTCACGTGACCGCGCTCCGGGCCTGCGGCCGCTGTCGGTTCCCCCAGTCACCGAGCGAGAGGGAAGAAACAAGATGGCGGCTGAAGGCGATCCGGAGTGGGGCCCCAGCAATTCGGATTGAGCCTTCTCCCTCCACCCGCTTCCGCCGGCCGGGCCCCTCCCGCCCGGCCCCGCGGGCCTCCCCACCCGGCCCCGGCGCCCCCCACCGCCACCCCTCCGCCCGCCCCTCCCCCCTCCGCTTTCCCTTCTCCCCCCGCCTCGGCTCCGACATGAGGGGCCGGCGGGGCAGGCCGCCCAAGCAGCCCGCGGCTCCCGCTGCGGAGCGCTGCGCCCCGGCCCCGCCGCCGCCGCCGCCGCCTACGTCCGGACCCATCGGGGGGCTCCGCTCGCGGCACCGCGGCAGCAGCCGGGGCAGGTGGGCCGCCGCCCAGGCTGAGGTGGCGCCCAAGACGCGGCTGAGCTCGCCCAGGGGGGGCAGCAGTAGCCGGAGGAAGCCGCCGCCACCGCCGGCCCCCCCTAGCACCAGCGCCCCGGGCCGGGGGGGGCGAGGAGGCGGGGGCGGCAGGACGGGGGGCGGGGGCGGCGGCGGCCACCTGGCCCGGACCACCCCGGCCCGGAGGGCCGTCAACAAAGTGGTGTACGATGACCACGAGAGTGAGGAGGAAGAGGAGGAGGAGGACATGGTCTCCGAGGAGGAGGAGGAGGAGGAGGACGGCGAGGCTGAGGAGACCCAGGATTCCGAGGACGACGAGGAGGATGAGATGGAAGAGGACGACGATGACTCCGATTATCCGGAGGAGATGGAAGACGACGACGACGACGACGCCAGTTATTGCACGGAAAGCAGCTTCAGGAGCCATAGCACCTATAGCAGCACTCCAGGTACCCACCCAGCCCAGTTGCTGCAGACTCCTTCCCCACCTCCTCCCCCTTCTCCCCTCGCTCACTCCCTCTCTGGTCTCCCCCCACCCCCTCCTCCCCCCTCAGACAGAGGGGAAATGCGACGGCACATCAAGTGGCAAAAAACTAGATTTACTAGAGGAAAGAGGCGCATTGTTCAAAATGGAGATTGCATTGTTGCAGTTCGCAGGCCACACACTCGCGCTCTCTCTCCCTCTCCCCCCACCAACCCCCTCTTTTTCCTCTTAAAAATTTGTGCCAGTGCAGTGTCTCCACCGGGCAGGGTTGAAACTTTGGCACACACACATCCATTGCATTCATTTTTCACCCCTTGTTTTGGTTTGGTTTTTTGGAATGAAAGAAGCCTCTTGTTTTTGCAGACCTCTTTGCATTTCTAATGTGGTTTCTTTTAGATATTTATTCTATATCTGTTCCTAAAAAGGGAATTCAGGATTTAGACAGATTGTGCCATACAAACACACACAAAACATGCTTCTCTTCACACCCCGAGCTGTGTGGTTTTAAAAGTGTGTTAAGGAAATAGATCAGTTGGGTTAGTAGGGGAGCCTTATCTGGTCCTGTGTGTTTGTTTTTATTCTTGAGTGCTAATGGGCGCGTGCAACAGTTGCGGGTAAATGGCCGATTAAAAAGCAAAGCAGAAAAACCAAAGGAAACCAAAACAAATTTAGTATTTCATCTGATTCAAAATCATTTCGGTAAAATGCAAAATAAAATAAGAGACCTCAGGAACATGCGTCTTAACTAATTTGATGCCTTTGCCTGAGAAATGCAGTTTCCTGTCACCTGTTGCAGAGACGTATAGTTGATCATGCAGACGCAATTGCTGAAGATGAACTTTTGGACCAACTCCCAAGTCACAGCAGAAGTATAGGGAGATTTATTGCAAAATGACTTTTTATTTTCATTCTGTTTCTGAGGATAATAGTCCTCCCTGATCTGTAATGAATTTCTCCATGGTGACTCCTCTCCTATTTTCTCAGAGTTCCTCTAGGCTGGTGCTGAGATACGTTTTGTTTATTTAAAAAACACACACAATGGCGGCTTTGTATTAAATACGTACTTGCGGCTTACTAAATTGTGAAAAAAAACGTAATTTATAGCGATAACCTACAAGACTTTTCCTTTATATTTTTGTTAATCTGGATTAACTAAATTAGAATCCAGTTTTCAGAGCATTTAAAAAGTAAAGTTCATGAGGGAATAGGATCTTAACGAAGTGATAAAGGTGTGTCACTTGTTTTTAAAAGAGACTAGGATAGTAGAAGTGGTTAAATTTAAGTGTGTCTGTTTTTTTATAAATACCTAAATACTCATTGGAGGAGTATGAGTATTAAGTCAGATGTAAACCTGTTTAGATTGTCCTAACAGCACATGAAAAAGGTAATTTCTTTTGCCTGACAGAATATCTGCCTGTCTTTGGGGTCGGGTGTGGGGAGAGCTGGCAGGAGAATGAAGGGAATGAATCAAATGTCAAGTGTTTGTGTCCTGTATGTAGAAGGGACTACACACCATTCTTCATTTCTTGCCAACTTAATTTTAGTACATCTTTTATAGTAATAGTTTTTACTTTAAGAAATCACATGTGGTCTTTTCTACCAAGAGCCCAGAATGGAAAGACCCGTGGAGAGTAAATTACACTATTGGAGGAAGTTTTCTCAGATGAGACAGAGCTAAGGTGTTTTGGCAGGGTGGTTCAGCTAACTTTAACTCCTCTTTGAAGGCCTAGAAAATAATATTTAGGGTTGAGAGCAGTGTATATGCTGAGTTAAATGACAGTTTGTGGTTAGGTTTCCTTTTTTAAAAAGATGCTTATATCTTTATGTACTTCCATGACATTCCGTTTTTTCTGATGACATTCGTAGTGCACCTTGTGTATGCTTGTCCTATCTTTATGTGAAATTATGGATTATATATCCTTATATTAATCTTATACCCCCTGCATTTCCTAGTACAGCGTCTCTCACACAGCCGGTGCTCATCAGAGATTGGTTGGACAGATGATTGTTAGTAGGTGAGAACTTGTAATAGATGAAGTTGTGCTAATTCTACTGTGGGTGCCGTAATTCCTAAATATTTTGGATTTGGGAAACTAAATATTGGTCTAATTAGATTTTGATACTTTGACCAGGGAATGTTTTTAGTAGCAGAGTTAGTGTGTTTTGAGCTGCTGTTTCATATTGCTTGCCAGGCATTTTCCTTTCTTTATTGGATGTGGTGTTAACGTGTTAGATGTTGTACTTTTTGAAACATTATTTCTCAAGATTATGGTAGAAGAGATGATACATTTTGCGTTCTAAACTTTTAGAATACGTCTACTTGCCTAGAATAACAATGCACGACAGTGAGTTGTTTAGGCTAAGCACCTGTTTCATTAGTTTTATTGTCTGTACTTCTAGGTAAGTGTGTATGTATGTGCTTTGGAAGGAAAAATGTTCTAGATGGTTTGATATCCCCAAAGCTCATAAATAAATATGTTTGGTGGATTTGAATCCAGCTGTATTGTCAGGGCTCAGAGAGGAATATACTTTATTGGTAATTTAGAGGAGATTATTAAGCTTTGTAAACTAGAATGTTGGCTTAAGTACTAAATATTCAATTCCTAGTATAAGAAATTACTCATTCATCTATTCATATGTTGAGTACTTTGTAGGTAATATACCTGTTGATGCGAAGACATTGGTTGATGTTACTAGCTTAATTTTCTAAAACCATATATTTAAAAAAGTTTATTCACTGGAGGTGAAATGTTTTCCTTTTAATGGAGAAATTTTAAATGGGTACGTAAGGTACTCACATGACAGATATTATTATAGGTATAACAATTTGTTAATACAAAATTGAAATCATCTAGTTTTGCTTCAATTCAAGGCATTTGGTTGAATAAGGCTTTTATTTTTATTGTTAAAATTTAGAGTTATTTCAGCCTGTAGGTTTTATGACATAGTTTGCCAGTACATTGAGAAGGATTGTGTAGAAAATCTTTTGAATAGGCATTTGGTAAAGTTCTGACAGCACCTTGAAATCAAGCATTTTCTAATTCAAAAAAGTTAAATTAGACTTTAAACAGAATAGTTCTTGCATTTAACTTGTGTGGAACTTCTGAGAATACCTAGGTGGTATTTTGATTTTTTTTGTTGTTGTTGTTTTGCGGTACGCGGGCCTCTCACTGTTGTGGCCTCTCCCGTTGCGGAGCACAGGCTCCGGACGCGCAGGCTCAGCGGCCATGGCTCACGGGCGCAGCCGCTCCGCGGCACCTGGGATCTTCCCAGACCGGGGCACGAACCCGTGTCCCCTGCATCGGCAGGCGGACTCTCAACCACTGCGCCACCAGGGAAGCCCCTAGGTGGTATTTTGAAATTTGGAGCTTCTGATGACTTCAGAAAGCAAAAGCGCTGGTGTTGCCCTGGGAGAGTTAGTGATTTATGTCCTCTAAGGCAGGGGTCCGGTACTGGTCCGCAGCCTGTTAGGAACCGGCCTGCACAGCAGGAGGTGAGCGCGAGGAGTGAAGCTTCATCCGCCGCTCCCCATCGCTCGCATTACCGCCTGAACCACCACCCCCCCCCCCCCCCGTGCATGGAAAAATTGTGTTCCATGAAGCCCTGGTGCCAAAAAGGTTGGGGACCTGTGCTCTAAGGATTATGACAGTGGAGATGGGTGGCGTAGGTGCCATGAATGAACTGTAGATTGATCTGAAGCAGAATTTGTTACCTGCTGGCAGTATTTATTCTCACTGGTGTCAACCAAGTATCTTTTCATTGTGCTTGGAATTCCTGATTGCTGCAAGTGAGGTACGAAGTGCAGTGGAGATTTAAAGGAGGGCGAGATCATACCCTATTTGGGGGAGTTGGTGTGGGTGTATGCTTCCTGGATGGACATGTGGCTACTGAGGACGGACAGAAGAAGGGAGGGAGCAGCATGAAGCAAGGCACTGATTCTAAGGTGCAGGCAGGCTTAAGTAACCTGCTTTAGCAAGAGCCTGAGTATGTGAATAGGAAATAAAAAAATAAAGCACCATTGTTGGGCAGTACTTAGAGAACCAGGCTATAGCATCTCCTCTCTCCCTCATTTGTAGGATAACAATTGGGGTAGATCAGTGATCCTCAGTCATTTTTCACTCCTGGAACACCCAAGGGATTTGCTGTATTCCTATCAGCACCATGTGGGAGCATGAAACAAAACCAAATCAAATCGTGGATACTGTTAAATCACTGATGCAGCCAGTTCTTTCCCCCACAAATTGAGAGAATTAATGGAAGAGGTGATTTCTGAAGTCTCCTCCCCTCCCACCCTCCTGTCTATTTCAGATCTATTTCATTTGTGGGTATTGGGGATCAATCAGAAGATCTGGAAACAAGCGGGATATGATTTCAGGGGGACATCAGGAAGTTTAGCATTACTTCTGTTCTGCAAGATGGATTGGAAGAGGACAGATAACTGGTGGAGATCTGGATGGGTTTTGTAGCCCTGGATGGGAAGATCAATTCAGGAGGTACTTCAGAATTCTCCAGCATCAGAAGTGTAGACAGAGGAATGCATCAGATATGCCTCTGTAAGAGTGGCAATGCTTTCAGTAGGAACAGGAATTCAAGATTATAAGGGAAATTAATGAGATCTGTTTTCAGGTATTGGTACCTGAAGAGGTTAAACATGAGAATTAAAAGAAAGAAAATGCGGGCCCCAAAGAGTTATTAAAAAGTTGGACAACATGACCTGTGGGTATTAGAGAGGTGTGTCTGAGGTATGCAATAATAGATGGTCTGTGTACAGCTCAGGCTCAGTACTCTTCTGGTGTATATTTGGAAGTGGAGCTGGGTATTGAAATGTGGGTGTGCAGCAGGAATGAGGATATTAAGGCCAGGAGCTCTGGTCTGTTCCGTTAGGTCTGCCTTTCCTCCCTCTTCAAGACCCCATGTCCTCCCTGTGACTGCAGATCCTTGGTGGGGGGGGTGCCACGGGTGAGA